CCTTTGCATACCAGTCTTCTGCAAAATTCAAAGGGAACACTTAGAATGCCGCTGTTTACACACTACCAGTCAAACAGATTGTAATCCCAATATGACATATATATATATACACTGTATGTAGATATGTATTTATGAGAAAGAGAGAGGGAGTCCATTGCATACCCAGTTTCCAAAGGGTCTCGCGAGGGTACCGCTCCGTGAATGCCGTGAGGAGGCCTTTGATGGTCTTGAGGAGGGCCTCCTCCTCTGACCTGTTCGTGGCCCCTCCCCAGCTATAGGATAAGCCGGTGTGGGTGCCAGGGAAGAAGGCTTGCCATTGTCGGCTCGTAGCATGGCATCCCAAGCACGTTCCAGGCACTGTGGTGGGGATATCGGTCAGGCCGTGCCTGGCCAACTTCTGGTATGCCGGGCGGGTCATGAATGTCTTCACTCGCTTGTGCTTTGGTGCGTGTTGAAGCTCCGGCTCATCCTCTGACAATGCCATGATGTCCATAAGGTCTGACTCGGTTACCTTCGGGGCCTCTTCCTGGATGTCTTCTAGTCGCTTCTCTTCATCCAACATAGCCTCTAGCTCCCCATCCTGCTCATTCTCCTCAACCTCAGGCTGCAACTGCAGCTGCTCTAGCTCCGTCTCAGGCACCGCCTTGGTGAGGAAGTCAGGGGCAAGCCCTGGGCGCGAGAACGGCTCTCCTTTCAACGCCACCAAGTTTCTGCACTCTCCATCGCAGGCTTGCACCTGCAATTGTGAGACATCGTCGCTCATCTTGAGAGTGACCAGGAAGAGATTTGCCCGATTCTTCTTGACTGAGGCCAAATCCTTCACGGACTCATGCGTCACCAAAGTCTTTCTGCCCTTGTTGTACAAGAGGCGTTTCACCTGGCCTTTCTCTAGCCATTCATCGTATTTCCGCTGGGCTGCTGGGGTCAGTCTTTGGTTTGGGCGCTCAGCAATCTTATCTTCCCAACTCTGCCTCTCATGGCTCCATTTCAGCAGCTGAGAAACTAGTGGCGTCGCAATCCAGTCTGGCAAAGCTTGTCTGGTTTCCGGCTTGCCGCTCTCCTCAAGCGCCCATACAATTTCTTCTTCGCCAGGCATTGGCATATTGCGAAGCTGCTCCAGCTCATTGAGGTCGGTGTTGGGACTGATGGCGGGAACTTCCACGAGCTGGGTCAAATCTCGGAGACATGATGTGTTCCGGGCATACGCAGTAGAAGCTTTGACGTAGGCACCTGCAAAAGCTGCGCCACACTCCAACACTTAGAATGCCTCCCTGCACCTCCAAAAAGGAAAATACTCAAACAAAACATATACTGAGTAGTGATACCAGGTCTATTTTACATTACATAGACAGGAAAAGGCATAGATAGGCACACGTATAGCTTCACATCACTGCACTGGCGTGGACTGCAGATGCAATCTTTTCAACAGGTCTGCAACACCAATTGAATCCTATAGCTGGGAACAAGAAAGCTTCCCAACACCTCCATACCGCCAGTTGGCAATCTCTTCCATTGACACATAGCCCCGTTTGACCCACGCCGTCCATACGAGCCTTCCGCACCTGAGCGCGACGCTGAACAAATTTATGTAATGTTGACTCAGGAGTAACAAACAGCCCCCAGCAATAAACTGATTTAAACAGCTGAATTTCCAGAGTGGCATCACCCTAATACAGTATATATATAATGTTTTTTCTTGGCATCATTTGCCACAGTATATATATAATGCAAATCAAAGGTTTTATATATTTATTGCAAACACTTAGAATGCTATTCGCAGCCAGCCACTCGAAGTTTGACAAACACTGCAGAGCATAGGCATCTGCCCTCAATGCCTGCAGAGTGGAGCTCCTGGCAGACATTTCACTGCAAAGGCAATTTTTCTGCTCACATGACAGCTAAGAGAAAGCAGAACATGCAACCTGGGAACTTTGTCGTGACAGAAGCTTGCACTCCCATCTGGAGCTCATCGAGGCGCCGACGTAGCTCTAAACTGTGGCCAAATCCCACGCAGATCTGGGAGTAGCTCTTGTTGAACAGGTGTAGATACTGGTGGAAGCCGTCATTTGGAGCTCCGGCTGCGCCATACCCACCAGGTATGGTGCAGCCCTCACTCCAAGATTCTCCGCTCAGGATCACCTGAATGACTCAGGCCCGGATACACTTAGAATGCTTGCTCCAACATACCCCCAATAAACAGACTGATGCACATACCGTTGAAAAAGAGAAACAACCAATAACCCGATATTTGGCAAAGGACCGTGTTGTGTTGCTGGCACCAGGCCCTCCGCAGTTCTTGAAACTGCTTGCTCGTATGTTGCGACGCCTGGTCACAGATGACCAAGCAGCGATCACTCAGCTGCAGAGAAAGCGATCTTCTCCGAGATCTGATTTCTTTGGCTAAAAACTGAAGGTAGTTCACCATGGTCTCACCGCCCCAGATGTGCGTGCGGCTTTGTGGAGGGGCGATTTCCAACCACTCTGAAAGCTCCTTTGTCGGACCAAATCTCAAACAAATGTTTCTGCTTGTGGACTGGTGTTGAAGGTGCTCCTATATAGAATGCTGACTGTTCCCCACCCCCAAACAAGTCTTGTGTCATGGTCCTGGTTAGCCAAGTCGTGGTCCTTCTCACTAATCGAATCAGATCTCAAAGTGACATATCCTCTGCCGACGCTCCCGTCGCTCCAAGACAATGTTGTGAGCGTTCGTGGCACCCGCCAACATTCTACTGGCGCACACCCTGCTGCTCCTCCAGTAACGCCCTCAGCGCTGTAGCCAGGTCTTGAATGATACCTGTTCTCTGCCAAGTTTTCCGTCAATGGCAAGTCCAGTGAAAGTTCGATCTGGTGTCTCAGCCTCCTCCACGACATGTGCTTGGCCAAATCATCACAATGATCTCGGCATTGTAGGGTGCGCTTAGATGGCTGGTACTGGACACTCCATACCTGATCGAAGTTTCC